TGCAAAGACAGAGTCAGGTGCTGCGGCTTGGCCATCTGCAGGGAAGGAGCCTATGCTGAAAGGGGAGCGCTCCCCAGCAACCACCACCATTTCTCTCTTCCTCCCCAGCGCCGCTTGTGGATTTACAGGCCACAGCCAGTTCCAGCACAGCCCCAAAACAGTGCTTGTTGTCACCTTGTCACGTGACACGGGGTGTAGCCCTGTACCATCAAGAGCTCTTGTGCCTGTCCATTCCACTCCCTATCATCTTCCCTCACTGAAGGTTCTTCTGAGCAGTGGGGACATTTGCCTCTAGGCCCCAGCCCAGCCCTGATCATGCACGCTTTTGGAGTCCCTCACCTTTAGGAGACTCCAGGGAGCTGGAGTTCTTCTCTTGTTTGGATACCATTGGCTTCTTAGCCCTAGAAGAGGTGGGAGCCGTCTTCCCTGGGGGCTTGGTCTTGTGCTCTGCAGCTTTCTGTTCCTGGTCCCGAGATTTCTTCTGTGTTTTCTTCCTTTTCTTTTTGGGGGGCCCGGCAGCTTCCAAGCGTTTTGTTCTGACAGCTGAAATGCAAACCAAGCTGAATCCCTTTTCTCTGACCAACTCAGCAAAGAAAGATCCCGCAGAGGCACTGATCCTAGCGATGCAGAGGACCAGGTGGCTAAGCTAGTGCCACCTATCCTGAGCTTGGCACCATCAACTGCCTGGGCAACAGTGGCCACAAATCTGTAATCCCAGATTTGGAGGCCAAGGCACTGGGATTGCTGAGAGTTTGAGGCCAGACTGGGCTACACAGCAAGAACCTGCCTCAAAAAAAAAAACAAAAATAAACTAACTTTTTTTTTTTAAAGTCCAAACTGTACTCATGCACTTGACCCAGCAGATTGCACATGAGGAGTGAAACGCAAAGTCTGGTTTCAGTCATCGCCACCAAAATACACTTCCAGGAACAAACAAGGACACCGGCACGAGCCCAAAGCTGAACCCTAGGCTCATCTATAGCAAGTTCCTCCTAGACAAACCCTTCCATCTTGAAGGGCAGCTCTGTAAACTCAGGAACTAGACATCAAGGCTTCAGGAAGTCCTGAAACTGACCAGATTCACTAGCCCCTTCTTCCCCAAGACTACAGGAGGAAGGCCAAGGGACTCTTAGTCAAGCAGGACCACGTGGAATAAACTCTCCAACCCGCTGCGCTGCAAGCTGTGCAGTGCACTCCAGGTTTCCAGCTTTGCAGAGCCACCACCCACGCTGGGGTGGGCTTTAGTGCTACAGCTATTTTGTAATTATGTCTGCTCTTGGAAGTCACCCCAATAAAGCTCACTGGTTAACCACACTGGCCTTCGGTAGTACTCAATGGCCCGCCATTGCTGTGTCTGCAAAGACTGATGGGCTCATCAGAACCCAGTGGTGCAGAGAGGCTGGAATGCTGCAGGTTCAGAGGAAATGACCTCATCTCTAGTTAGCTCTAGTCCCATAAATAATCCGTTCCCAGCCCACCTCTACATCTGTGACTAACAGATAAAAAACTATTCGGGAAGCTATTAACTTAGCGGATCAACCTAAAAGTTAATAACACCATCGCTCTGGGCATAACACGCCTTTAATCCCAGCACTCTGGAGCCGGAGGCAGAGGCAGGCTGATCTCTGAGTTGAGGACAGCCTGGTCTACAGAGCTCCAGGACAGCCAAAGCTACACAGAGAAACCCTGTTTCTTTCTCTCTCTTTCTTTCTTAAGACAGGGTTTCTCTGTAGCCTTAGAGCCTGTCCCGGAACTAGCTCTTGTAGACCAGGCTGGCCTTGAACTCACAGAGATCCACCTACCTCTGCCTCCCAAGTACTGGGATTAAAGGCGTGCGCCACCACCGTCCAGCGAGAAACCGTTTCAAAAAAACAAAAATGTCATCAGCACCTGGGCCCTCATATTACCATAACCACCTGATACACACACCAATGTATTTTAAACTTGCCTTGGCTTTCTTTGTTCCGTAAAGCTTAAAGGAACTGCTTCAAGAACATTCTGTGTTGAAAACTGGAATTTGGGGTAACCTAAATCCATGTTCCCAGGCCACGGTCATTCAAAATGGGCTCCAGAATAAACTATTGAAGGTGACGGCTGTGGGTTTCTGAAATTCACGGTGATCTGCCTTGCTTCTGTTTGCCAAGTACTGGTACTAAGGGCATGTGGCCCATGATTCTCACTGTTTCCCGTCCCCACCCCAAAAGACTCATTTACTCTTATTTTATGAATGTTTTAAGTATGTGTGCCTGTGCATCATAACTGTGCTGGTGCCAGTGGAGGCCAGAAGGGGGCGTAAGACCCCCTGGAGCTGGAGTTAGGGACTGTTGTAAGCTGTCATGTGTCCACTGGAAACTGCATCTGGGTCCTATACAAGAGTAACAAGTGCTCTTAACCGCTGAGCCATCTCTCCAGCCCCTCTTTTTTACTTTTTGAATGGGTTCCCTGAAGTTGCCCATGCAGAGGTGAACTTACCGTGTAGTCCACACAGGCCTGCGGGCCGTTACCCTTGGGGTCCTCAGCCTTAGGCTCCCACCAACCAGCAGCAATGAACTCTTTGTTTTGATTTGTTTTTCGAGACAGGGTTTCTCTGTGGTTTTGGAGCCTGTCCTAGAACTAGCTCTTGTAGACCAGGCTGGTCTCGAACTCACAGAGATCCGTCTGCCTCTGCCTCCCGAGTGCTGGGATTAAAGGCGTGCGCCACCACCGCCCGGCAATGAACTCTTTATGATGCACGATTTACTTCCACTTCCAATGATGAGGGAATGTTAGCATTTTAAACTAAAGGCCCAAGAACGGAGTGCATGTTCTTTCAACGCGTGAATCACACGCGCTGACAAACATGCCAGTGAGAAAACTCGGTGACCTCGTCACACTTCACTAAGCGAGTACGTTTTTCTTTCCGTTTGAGTCTGGTAGTTCCCTAACTACCTTTCCCTCCATCACCGCCCAGCGCCCTCAGGAGCCGTAGCTGTCCCCGCCGGTACCCGCTCATTCTTGCAGCACGCGTGGAGGGTTCCGACCGAGGAGAGCGGGCCCGTGCGACGGCATCCACTCCCAAAGGCTGCTCGGGTAGGCTGCCTTACCCCACTTGCTCCCCTGCCTCTCGGGGCCAGGCTGTGTGCAGATCTTCTTGGCCAAGTCCTGCAGATACGCATCCTTGGCTTGCAGAGAGGCCATGGTTGGAGGCCACGCTCGGAGGTTCTGCGGTCCTGAGCTCCGCCGGAAGCACCCTGAACGTAGGCGCCGACAGCCTAGCGCTCGATTGCCCAGCCTGTCCACGCCGGAAATATTGTGTGCGCAGGCGCCGCCAAGCCAATGCTCGTTATTAGTTCAGGAGCACCGGAAGTCACCACCCAAAGTATTTGTCTCCATTCACTCTCGGTTAGCAAGCTAGTTAGCCTCGGAAGCCCTCAGAAGCCGCCAAGTACGCACCCGCGGCCCACCCGGAGATCGATTAGCCAGGCCTGAGGGGCCGGCTAGTACTTAACCTGGAGGCGGTCCTCTGAAAGAAGCAACCTGTAAGGTCAGGACTTCAGTCCAGCCGGCCCCGCCAGACAGAACGGAAGCCGTTCTAGCTCCTTCCCAGCTAATCCACCTGAAGCCCAGAATCCAGCCTGCAGGGGATGCCCAACACCCCACGACCACTCCGCCACACGGAGCAAAACACAAACCGGTATCTGGGGGGGGGGGGGGGGGGGACCACACATGAGTATGGCGTGGAATCTAGATTACATGTAGTCATGTATCAATTGTTTTGATGGCATTGGGCCTTTAGAGATGAAAATCCCCTTGCAGATGGCATTGAAATGGCGTATGTACGAGGAAATGGAGGGAAGAGCGAGTCCTTAGTAGGGCCTATACAGGCCTTGCTATACACGTGCTACATAGCATGTAATTCATCTAGGATCACTCACAAATTAATGCTCGTGAGAAAAAAAATAAAAATAAAGGTCACACAGAAGTTACATCACTGACTCTTGAGTTCCTAGAGAACTGAATCCCTGGCTCTCTCCGGGGAGTTCTGCCCCCAGCAGCATAAGCTGAAGGAAGACAGTGGTGTCCTTTAAATGAGAAGCTTTGCTTTTAAATATAAAGGACAGAATTGGCCAAACAGAATAAAACACAAGAATCAGTCTTTCATTAAGGTTTTTGGAACCCCTTCTGAACCGTTGCTTCTGGTGCCTCCCTAAGTCCTCTACCCTGTGCCTAAGCTTTCTCGGTGACACTCATCGGTTCTTCCAACAGTTAACATATTGCAGACATCACTCTGATGGAAAACTCCATCAATGGGGCAGTGACTTCCCCAGCTACCCACTTGTGTGCTACCTTCTGTTTGGCTATGTAGGTGCTGGGCCACCTGGTGACCAGCCCATGTTCCTCATAGACCCGGGATGGCTTTCATGAATGAAGCATGCTCATGGTATAGTTAGGAGTGACAGGCTGAAGGCAAACACACACCCCAGTGTCATGATTTCTGCATGTCAGTGTTGAGCCTGGTACTGAGAGGCAATGGGGTCTGAGTTCCTAGTTGTTTCTGCCACTTAATTTCTCAGCCTGTGGCTCTAGGCATGACACACCTCTTCAAGCCCATGCCTACTTCAAGATGCAGATATGACAGCACTAAGTTGAGGTGGCAGAAATAGGTGGCACCGGAGGTACAAGTGCTGCACTCATATAACTTAAGTAATGGCAGACTTTTCATTCCTTTACCAAATGTCAAGGACCTACTAGATGCTAGTGGGAGAGGAGCTATACAAGGAGTGTAAGCGGAGACTGTTCTTTCATTTCCCAGCCGCCCAGACCCAAATAATCACACAGAAACTAGATTAATTACAACACTGCTTGGCCAATAGCTTAAGCATATTAGCATATTCCCAGCTAGCTCTTCATATTAAATTAACCCATTTCTATTAATCTGTGTATCACCATGAGGCTGTGGCTTACTGGCATCTTTCTCCTTCGGCAGCTACATGGTGTCTCCTTTACTCTGCCTACTCTCTCTATGTATCTCTGTTCGGATTTCCCACTTGCTTTATTCTGCCCTGCCATAGGCCGAAGCAGCTTCTTTTATTAGCCAATGGTAATAAAACATTTCACAGCATACAGAGGGCAATCCCACATCAGAGTTGGGGCTGTTGCTTGAGGAACCCGGGGGAATCTTAGACTGATCAGGAAAGAAAAATGAACAGCACAAAAAGGTAATGTTTTATTCAACAGTTTCATCACAAAAGTAGCAGAATGAAAATGGTGTCAGAATCCAGGAAGATGCCCTGGCTAGCTAGCTGCCTCGGTCTTGCTAGGACTGTCCAGCTGTGGCACAAACAATTGTGCACCAGGCAGTGGACAGGGCTCTCTATACAGGAGCTTGAGTCAAATATGGGTGGCTGGACTTGGCTAAGGTCTACTGAGCACCTCCTAATTCTCAACAGACTGAGGCTTTCTATCACCAGCCAACCTCCCCATTCAAGGTCCTCAATGGGACCAACTTCCATCTGGCAGTCAGGAAGGTAGCCACTAGAGACGAAGGGCCATCCATCTGCCTGTAAATAACTGAACAGCATTCCTGAACCATCAGGGAACTGGCCCTGGCCTGGCCAGGTCCCTAAGGCTACAGTGGTTCCTGATCCCGAAGTGGGAGCTAAGACTGAAGCGGGCACCCACAGGACTTCCTTTCTGATAAACTAGGGCCCTGGGGAGCGCTCAGGTGTGTTCTGTGGGGCCAGGGCCACCACCATGGGAGTGGGCAGGGGCTGCAGACTGCAGGGGACCAGCACCAGTCTCCGGGGACGCCAGAAGAGGGGCTGAGAGGCCATCAGCAGAATCTGTGTCGAGGTCCAGCCTCCAGTAAGCTTCACATAGAGGCAGGTCATTAGCTTCGCAGAGACTTGAGCTTTGCCACCACAAGAAACCCCCAGGAATGACAGGAGCAGGCAGAGGAAAGCCAGGGAGGGGAAAGCAAGACAGATGCAGAGTTAAGAAATGAACATCACCTGATTGCCTCCCCTTCCTCTCCTCTGTGCTAGCCCCTCTGCTACCAGTTCTGGCTGCCCTTGCAGTCAAAAAGATGCCATCAACAGACCGAGTGACTTAGGCAAGCTCTCCCCATGGGCCACATGTCCTTCCTGACACTAACGAATCCCCATCCCTGTGGGTCTCCTCCCATCCTGACTGCCCACCCATTAACAGTATGGCAGTGATAAGACTTTACAAAGAGCTCAACATGGCAGAGACCTGTCTGTTCCTATCAGGGAATGGGCCTAACTATAAAAAGTCAGGAACAGAGGTCCATTTCTGTACACACCAACTGCTCCAGCCCTACAGCTTTGAGCCCCACACTTTCACACACTCCATTTCCCCATGCTACACAGGAAAGACTAGAGGTGGAAGAGGCAAGGATTAAGTCTCAGCGGTCATGGCAGGTTACCTGGAGCACATCTGTTTCCACAGCTTTCTAATCTGCACAAGGCCCTAGCCACATACCTGCCCCCAACAGTCCCTCTCTGAACTACCCAAAAGAGTAGCATCCCAGGAGAGTGGAGGGGAGGCAAAGCCAGAATCAGCAAGCAGTGAGTATATAGGCAGGAGTAGCTGTGCAGAAGGGAAGCTGGGCAGCTGGTGGTGGTGTGGGCACACAGAATAACCCCACTGGCCCTGCACAGAAGAGCCCTGCCATTTAAGGTAATTCATAGGCAGAGGGGCCGCTGCCATATCATGAGGAATATGAAAAAGGTGACTGTCCAAAAGGAACGCTGGTTGTCTCAGAAACTCATGCAGGTGATGCAGAGACTGAGGCTTTGGAAACCTGGCACACTGTATTTCTGTCTTAAGCAATTTCATCCCCTCCTCCATCAACTCCTATAGCAGGGCTAAGTCACTGCCCCAAGACTGATCCACCCAGGGGCCCTTGAAGCAGTAACTGTCTAAAGGGTAGCGACAGGAAGAATTCATCCTGGTGAGTGGGAGCAGAAGAGATGGTCCCATTCATTTGCTAAGCTGATGAATATTGGGATCAAGGACAGCCCCAGAACTGCCCCAGTTGGCAGTGACCCTGAAGACTAGGATGGGGAAAACAAGCCCTAGATCACATACTGCCCAGCTCTGGACATCTTCTGTGCAGCAGGAGCCCACACCTACCACCAGGGGAAGCCAGGTTTGCCTGGGAGAGGGTGCTGCTGGACGGAACCTGAATTTCAAGCTGAGAGGATGTGAGCCAGGCCTCCATTCTCCAGCCTCAGTTTCCCACATATTTCACATTGTACTCCTAATTTCTCAGGGCCTCTCTAGCTCAGAAACTGTCAGGTTTCAAGTGGCCCTTCAGAGGACTAGGTGACAGATCCTACCTACGCTATCCTAGGTCTGACACCTCCATAAGGCTGAGCTGACCAGAAACAGGATATCCAAGTACCCAAGCCCAGTTCTCAGAGCCGCTCTGCTTGAGCTCCTTCCTCCTCCTTCCCAGTGTTCCCCACCCCTACACTGAGGAATTTGATGATATCTGCATAGAACTGAATCTCTGGGCAAGCAGTAGGCAGTGATGTCCCACGGAGTGGACATAGTTATAGACCCAGAAGGCCACAGGGGCCAATACAGCCTTGGCTAAAGTGTCAAGACAGAGATTTAGAGCAGGAAGGCAGACTGCACTGCCCAGGAGACTTCCTCGCCTCCTGGGGATGTCCTTCTCTGGCCGCTGACACCAAGTCCTGTGATTTTCCACCCCACTTCATTGAGGGGAAGGCCTGGGCACCAGCTGGTGGCTGGCTGTGACTGTCTGTCCATCAGGGGCTCTGCTGTCAAGGAGGACTTGGAAAAACACAAGGCCCTGAAGGCCCTAGTTAGCCTGGGGAGGCAGCAGGTACCACCTTCATGCGAGTCCAGCCCTATTTGTACCTGGACGAGTAGTACTCCTCCTCCAGCTCATAGAGGTCGATGGAGACCTCGTCCCGCAAGGTGATGAGCTTGCGATCACACTCTTCCTGCAGGGCGCGCAGCTGCTGGTTACGCTGGTCAATGGCTTCATTCACAGATGGGAAGTCATTAAGGATCAGGAACTGCTTGAGATCAGATACCAGCTTCATCAGCGATTCGCCAGCTCGGACCTGCCACCATCATAATCAGGATAAGCATGAGAGGAGACGGAGATGGTGGCCCTGCCTTGTGTAACTGGTGCTGGGCCAACCGTGGGTTTCTGCAAGTCTCAACTTCATGATCAGCAAAGAGTCAGAGCCTGCACAGAGTCATCTGTGAGGACAGAGGGCTGGGAAAGCAAGGTCAGAACCCACCTGACCACAGGTGGGATAGGAAAAGTTTGCTCACTTCAAGCTTTCCCGCCCCAACCATGAACACATCCCATGCACTCAACTCCAAGTCAACAGAAGACCATGCCCTGGGGTTCCTCCTGACCCATTCCTTCCCAGAGATGGCACAACTGCAAGTTGGGCAGGATTCCCTGGGGTCTTTGCCCCACATGGTGTCATTTGCTGGTACCCACTGTACAGACACTGACCTACTGGGCTTTCCCTGGAACATCAAGATGGGCTCACACTTCACATACGCCATTTCACATACGACAAAAGGCCATTTTGCCTTTCCAGTCACAACCAGCCTTGGGGAACCTTTGTCAGCAAGAATGGCTGCCTTCCTCCTGACTACTATACAGGATGGAAAAGGCTGTATGTCTATTGCACCCACCCACCCCAGTACCCACCAGGGGCAACTTCCTCTGCCCCGCCCCACTCTTCTCTTGTTTTCCTTTGGTCCATCTGTGATCCCTACAGGGGTGTTTTCCACCCTGGCCACTCACGATGTTGGCAGCTCGCACATGCATCTCGTAATTGTCTTGTTCACCCTGAGTAGCCCGCGACACCTGTGTCTCATCCTCAATCTGGGGACAAATAAAAAAGCTTAGAATCAGCACAGGCAGCCTCCTGGCTTAGCCTGGTTGACAGGAACCCAACAGCTAATAGCCACTGCCTCCACCCCAAGAGCCACCACCCCAGCCTGTCTATCAGGCCTTCCTGCATACCCAGAACCCTACTTCCTATCTAGACAGCTGGCAATGTCCACTCCAACCCCCTCTCATTCTGTGGGTGACAATAGGTGACTTCATCACATAAAAAGGACACTGCAAGTCTTTTTGAGAAAGTTTACAGGAAAAAAGATGTTCAATAAAGGAGTAAAAAGACATTTTTTTTTAATCTTTTGTTTTTAAGGCAAAGTCTCATGTAACTCAGGCTGGCCTGAACTTCTGATCCTCCTGCCTCCACTTCCTAAATCCTGACAGTAAAGAACTGTGCCAACATCTAGTTTATCCAGTGCCAGGGACTGAATACAGGGCTTTGTAACTGCTAGGCAAGCACCTTACAATGGCAACAACTATGTTGAGTAGCTAACTAAGCAAGGCTTCCTCACAAAAAAGCCTGAACTGTTGTTCTCAGCTTACATTACAGATAGACCAGTTAGAGACGGACACAGACCTCAGTGGTCTTGAGGCATCTCAGACATAGAGCAGCAGCTCTCAACATTGCGATTCATAATAATAACAGTTGCAAATTTATAGTTATGAAGTAGCAACAAAAATAACTTTGTGGTGGGGGGTCACCACAAAATGAGGACTTGTATTAAAGGAGTAAACTCATCAGTCATCACAAGAATCTACGGCAATGGGGAAACTAAAGTAGAGCCCTGGCAATTCGGCCACAGCCCTCTGCTCTACCCACACCTGTCCTTATTTGGCTTTTCTATTCACCTGCTGACCTTTTTTTTTTCTTAAATATTTATTTATTTATTTATTTATTTATTATGTATACAATATTCTGTTTGTGTGCATGTCTGCAGGCCAGAAGAGGGCACCAGACCTCTTTACAGATGGTTGTGAGCCACCATGTGGTTGCCGGGAATTGAACTCAGGACCTTTGGAAGAGCAGGCAATGATCTTAACCACTGAGCCCCACCAGCCCCACCTGCTGACCTTTTGACGCGTCGTCGCTCACACCCGCACCGAACTGATCACATTCCCTTTGCATCCCCACCCCTTCAACAGAATCCAAACTCATGTACCCAGACCCCAGGGAACGCCGCCAGTTCCTGCCTTCTCCCTTGGCCTCGGAACAGCGACCACACACCTTGGCGGTCTTGATGATCTCGGTGAAGTTGTCCATGATGGACTTGATGTCGTCTTTGAGCCGTTTGTTGTAGGACTGCAGCAGCGTCTCCTTGCTCTGGGGCAAGGCTCTCTGCTGGGCCATGGCAGGTCCCGGGTGACAGCAGCCACAGTCCGGTCAGACCCGAAACGAGCACACAGAGCCTGCGGGGGTGGGGAGCGGGATTCCGCTACATCAGCTTCCTCCGCGAACGCGGGCCCTTTACCGCGCTCGGGTTTTGTTCCCTACACCCGCAACCACTCGGGACCTGTGGTACCTTGCCTGGTCCAGCAGCCCTCGGCGAACGAGCAGCCGCCGTTCCGCAGGCTCCGCCCAGACCCCGCCCCACTTCCGCCGACAGAATGCGGCGTGATCCAGTCGCTTTAAATCCGAAATCCCGCGCAGGCGACAACTCTCGCGATCTCCGAAGCTGCTTACATATTACCCACAATCCCCTTTTTCTTTCTCTCTCCTCCAGCCCGGCAAGATGGTGAGTGATCGAGCTCCTTGGCTTCATCCGCCTCCATCCGCCGCCCGACGCCGTCTCCCGGGTTCCGCGACCGCGCTTGGCGCTTCGGAGGCCTGCGCTGAAAGGGAGCGGCGGCGAGCGGCGCGCAGGGGACGAGCCTGCCGCCCGATGGGATGGCGACGACGGAGGACACAGCCTCACGGGCTTTCTCTCTTGTGTTCAGCCCAAGGGAAAGAAGGCCAAGGGGAAGAAGGTGGCCCCGGCCCCCGCCGTCGTGAAGAAGCAGGAGGCGAAGAAGGTGGTGAATCCTTTGTTTGAGAAGAGGCCTAAGAACTTCGGCATTGGTAAGAAGTGGGGCGAGTGCTGTCCCGAGAACGCGGCGGTGGCTGCAGGGGACCTGGGGGTTGGGGTTTACTCTGGCCGGAACCAAGCCGGCGGTGGCCGTCCTGGTTTTCACGTAGCCACAGCGGGAACTTCGGCTACCGTGCCTGCTGGCAGGCCATGGCTTTCGGTTATAGCGGGATGTGGCGTTGTGTGCAGATGATGTAAAAGAATATTTGCTATCAGAAAAGCAGTGATGACATTTGAACCACCAAGATCGCTGATGCACCAGCACCCACCCTCCCGAGCGCCCAGATGTAGCCCCGCGCAGCGATGACTCCTGATTGATGGTGTCACTCTTGCTTCCCAGGGCAGGACATCCAGCCCAAGAGAGATCTCACGCGCTTCGTCAAATGGCCCCGCTACATTAGGCTGCAGCGGCAGAGGGCCATCCTCTATAAGCGGCTCAAAGTTCCTCCAGCCATTAACCAGTTCACCCAAGCCCTGGACCGGCAAACAGGTGAGATTTTGAAAAGCGGCCGGTTTGATGTCACTGGAGCATGAGATTGGTCCTAAGTTGTCATTTTTACGGTTAGCGAAGGAAAAGGGTGCTTGCTGCAGGGTCTCAGCGCCCTTATACAGTGGCTGGGGAGGGTTGAAAGGGGTCCCCAGCCACTCTGCTCTAAACAGCCAGCTATCTTCAAGCTCAGTAAGGTGGGGAAGCTGTTACGGGAGATGCCCAAGGTTGACCTAGCCTTCTCGTCTGCACGTACCAAACTAGGATAGTTTAGGGTTCTTTGACATCTTGTAGTATTGGTTGTTCTGAACTCAAAATGTAGACCCAGGCGGGCGTTGAACTCGAAATCCTGTTTCCCCAGGTGCTGGGTTAAAGGGGTGCCACAAGGATGGGTTTTTTTTTTTTTAACTCTTTTATGCCACAGTTGTACAAGGGTTCAGAGACCCTCCACAAGGCCTGTATATGTAAAATGCCTTTCAAGTGACAGGTTAGAATTGGGCCTGAGCAAGAGACTGCCCGCCACATGACCACACTCAGGAAGCTATGTAGCAGACTTAAAAGACACAAGCCTCAAGTCTAACTCAAGAATGTTTTCCCAGCTACCCAGTTGCTTAAGCTTGCCCACAAGTACAGGCCAGAGACCAAGCAGGAAAAGAAGCAGAGGCTGCTGGCCCGTGCTGAGAAGAAAGCTGCCGGCAAAGGGGATGTCCCGACTAAGAGACCACCTGTCCTTCGAGCGGGTAAGTGGATCCCTGGGAAAGGAGGGGTGGTGGGGCAGGCTGTGCGATGATGTCTGAATTTCTTCACCTGAGAGCACTGTGGAGAGTGAAATCGAGCTTTTTAACCCTGAGTCACAGCTTGTGGAACTGCTTTTGTGACTCTAGCAGCCCAAGCAAGCACTCAGGCAAAGTGGTTGTATGTTGTGTATTCCAGGCGTCAATACAGTCACCACTTTGGTAGAGAACAAGAAGGCTCAGCTGGTGGTGATTGCCCACGACGTAGACCCCATTGAGGTAGGTCTGGTGGTTTAAGCATCAAGTGCAGTACTGCCAGGGTCCTGTGGGAGGGTGGGGTTGGTTTTGTGAGTTGAAGGTGAGGAATCCATTTGTGTGGCTCTTGCTATGATGTGAATCTTTGACTGAAGTGCTTTGATGTGCAATCACATGAGCTTTTTAACCCTGAGCATTTGCCACAAAGTAGCAGGGTAGCTGGCTACTGCTTCTGCTCCCAAACACTTATAAAGTATCCTTGCTTCTAGCTGGTGGTCTTCCTGCCTGCTCTGTGTCGCAAGATGGGGGTCCCCTACTGCATCATCAAGGGAAAGGCCAGGCTGGGGCGGCTGGTCCATAGGAAGACATGCACCACTGTTGCCTTCACACAGGTTAACTCGTGAGTATTCGGGCTTGTCCTTAAGCTTCCCTTACCCTCCCAGGTTTTGGACCATTTGCCAATGATGGTTAAGAATTTCTTCACCTGAATCAGGCGTGTTGTCATTCTGTGTCTGAGGCAAAAAAATAAGATGCTTGTATCAGAAAAATTATTCCTGTGTCTGCTTCCTAAAGAGTAACAAGGCCTTTCTCCCTTCTTTGCCAGGGAAGACAAGGGTGCTCTGGCCAAGCTGGTGGAAGCTATTAGGACCAATTACAACGACAGATATGATGAGGTGAGCAGTTCTATACAGAGCATGGGATTGGTTGGTGCTTTTAGCAGTCAGATTTGGGTTGCCCACTTGGAGTCAGTGAATATGGGATGTTAGCTGATGTGTGCATGTATTAGAGAATAGGCCAAACTGACTTGTTGTATCTGTATTTCAGATCCGCCGCCACTGGGGAGGCAACGTCCTGGGTCCTAAATCTGTGGCTCGAATTGCCAAGCTGGAAAAGGCAAAGGCCAAAGAACTCGCCACTAAACTGGGTTAAATGTACTGCTGAGTTTTCTGTACATAAATATAAAACTTCCATCTGATGTCTGGTTATTTGGGTTGATGTGCTTAAAATGTCTTGAAACCAAGCCAGGGTTTAAAAATAACAATCTTTATTTTATAGGAACAGGTTTGTTAACTTCACACACCTGGTGTCCGCCGCACAAATTTTTGAAACCACAAGAATGATGTGGCTGCACACAGTCCATACCTGTGATTGAAAGAAGTTTAGTTGTCCGCTCATACAGTGTATGGGGGGGGGGGATGTAACAAGACAGAAGGAGGACTAACCAGGTAATGATGTACTGCATGTGCTCATTCCGAAGAGTGACTCTTGTCTGCCCTCCAATGGGTCCTCCAGGGATTGTACTCTCTGCAGAGACAATAGAACTTAATGTCCACCTCTAATGGGACTCCTCTTCAGTTCCCTACTAAAGGCCAACTGGGTGTTCCTCTGCCCCAGACAAACTAGGTGCCAGGGAAAGAAGTGGGAGGGTCCAGGCTGCCACAGCGTACTGAAGTCTGCATCGATGAAAATGGGGTCTGCGCCTGTTATCTTGGCCATAGCTTCCAGATCCCGATAATGCCAGTGATTCTGTTCTGGACTGTTCTCAGGGACAAAGGGCTTCCTAGTTTCTGTCAGCCTCACTATGCCAACTAGGTCTACTTCTCCAAGAACCTACAAAGAAAGGTGAGACAGAAGTCCTACATGGAAAATGGGTGGATTATAATATCGCAAGCTGAAAGCCTATCTCTTACCTGGCCTTTCTGTCTGGTTTCTGGATTCACTTTCTTCTTGGGAACAAACCCTCTGTTAACCAGGATGGTAACTCTGAAACAATAAAAGTGTCCCTTTGAGTGAGGGAGGGTTCCAGCACAGATCATCATTAATGGTCACTGCAACATCTACAGGACAGTTCGACAGAATTGTTTGTTCTGTGGATCCAGTCCAACACAGCCTCAGTGACTCAAACCCTATCAACTGGCTAAAACAGTTGCTTAATGTCAGAACTGGAGATCTTGGAAATGATCCGGCTGTATTAGTTGAATCTCATGGACTCCCCAGGGTCTGAAGGTTGGTTGAGCACGGTGAAGGAAGCTGCCAGGCCATAGCCTACTCACCCCAAGTCAGAGCAGTGGAAAGGAGTAACTACATAGGCTCCACTTTCCATTGAGGAGGAGATTCGGCCAGCATCACGGGCCTCTCGAGCAGGGTCCACCTTGGTCCGAGGCATCATGTACAGCTCTTTGGAGTGGTCAAAGTGCCCCCTGACCTTCACTGGCCTGTACTCCAGGTTTTTCAGTTCCATTGGGCTACAAGGAGGAAGGGCTGTGGGTAAGCCAGGCGTGTCTAAGAATGTTGGCAAAGCTACCAAGCCCCACCAGGCAGGGTAAGAAAGGCCCAGTGAGGATCATCAGATTACAAGTTGTGTCCTCCATAGAGGTGATCTCAGCACCAGCCTCTGATGCCATATGAGAATGTGGATCTGCAAGGAAAGTTATGGATTGAGTCAAACTTCACCTGTTACATATCTTAAGTACCTAAGCCTCACCACTATGGGGGATCCTTGAAAGACCTGAAAAGGGAAATATGGCATCAAAAATACATCCCTCCTATTTATGTTCCATGTTCTTTGGCAGTTTCTTTTTTTTTTGGGGGGGGGGGGGGTTGAGACAGGGTTTCTGTGTGGCTTTGGAGTCTGTCCTGGAACTAGCTCTGTAGACCAGGCTGGTCTCGAACTCAGAGATCCGCCTGCCTCTGCCTCCCGAGTGCTGGGATTAAAGGCGTGAGCCACCACCGCCCGGCTCTTTGGCAGTTTCATAAAGGCAATCAGTAGCCAGTCTGGTGGGAAATTTTGAGGACCCTGCCCAAGGGCAGAAATTACTGAGAAGACACCAAACAAGCCAGGGCCCCACGCTGCTCCTAAGTGGGATGGATTGGGTGGGCAGTCACACTCACTCGGCAGGCAGAGGAATGGGCTCAGCCATTATTCGAGACTCTAATTCTGCAATCAGTTTCAGCTTCCATTTCCGACGTTGGACCTACAGAAACAACATGAGCTAAGCAAACATCAGTGGGGTCCAAGGCTCAGAGATACCCAAATTAGACCCTGGTCTTCACCTGCCAAGTCCCCAGGCCAAAAGCAGTAGCAGGGATGAGAAGCAGGAACCATTGGAGGAAAGAGTCGTCCTCTGCTTTAGCGGCGGCTGCTTCAGCAGTAGAACTGTAGCACCTGCTTGGTCTCCACACCATCCCTGGAGGGAGTTTTACAATACTGGCATGGGGTCAGAAGGCCTAGAACAGAACTGGGTGGCCAATTCCTCGAGCAGACTTGGGTTAATGCCCACAGAGGATGTAAAGAAAGGAGCAATTAACAGCACCTGTGCCCAATCCGCTCCCAGTAGACCACTGCGGGCTGAATGGAGGCAGGTGTCCAAGCGCACCCAGGTCTGAGCCCTTCTCACCTGAGCGGAAAGAAAGCCCGAGGATGTTCCTTCTGGAAACGCGGAGCGGGGCCTGCGGGGACCGAACAGGCCGCGGGGCTCTAAGCTCAGGGACCTCAGGGACGCCAAGCGCGTGCACCTGGGCTAGGTACAGGACAGGGTCCTTCCCGGCCCAGCACCAACCCAGGCTAGAGCCTCTTAGGCAGGGTCCACCCCTGGCCCTGCTCCACCCCAGGCAAAGCCCTCTTGGGAAGGGTCCTCCTCGGCCCCATTCCACTCCAGGCTCGATTCTCCCGGGCCCCTCCACGTCCCCTCGCTCACCAGCCGCGGGCAGGACCACTGGGGCCACCGCGTCAAGCTCTGCCGCAGCACTGAGAAAGCCTTCACCGCCGCCATCTTTGAACACTTCCGGGACCGAGAAATCTGCTTCCGGGACGGGACGGCGCTCTGACCCACGTGGTAGCAGCGGTGTCAGAGGAGCATCTCAGATCATGGAAGAACTACCAGCTGATGTGCGGGCTTTCCTGTGCCAGCACCCCAGCCTGAGGCTGCTGCCGAATACTCAGAAGGTCTGAGGAGAACCGTGCCAGGGAGGAGTAGGACCAGGAAGGAACGGGACTCGGGAGGAGTGAGACCCGGAAGGACCGTGCCTGCCGGGGAGGAGTGGGACCCGGGAGTACTGTGCCTGGAAAGCAGTGGGACCCGGAGGACGGGACAGGGGAGGGGCGGGGCTGGCAAGAACCACTTGTGGACAGGCGGTCCATCCACAGGTACGCTGCTCTCTAACCGGCCATGAGCTACCCTGCCGTCTGCCGGAGCTTCAGGTCTACACCAGCGGCAAGAAGTACCAGCGGCTGTCCAGAGCCTCCCCGGCCTTCGATTACACAGCATTCGAGCCACACATCGTGCCCAGCACAAAGAATCTGTACGTAGGTGGCCGGCCAGCGCCTGGGGGCAGAGCCTGTGCTCCCTCTTCTGAATGTATAATGGCCTTCTACTGACACTTCCCCTTACATAGTCACCCGAGGCCAGGCTGACAGTGCCACTTTCACCGTTTGGGGACGCTATGGTTGTGTGGATGATATATCCTCACATGGGACTTCCTGAGCCATTTCCCCTTACATTCACCCTGGAGCAGTTTTTCTTGGGTGACAATCTGGATTTTTAATCCCAGATGCTGAGTGGAATTGTTTGGGAAGCTGTTTTCGAAAGTAAGACTGTAACTTGATCTGGAATACACTATGTAGACCAGGCTGACCTCAACTCAGATACCAGTCTGCCTCTCTGCCTCCTGAGTGCTGGGATAATAGATAGCCATGCCCTGTGGTTGGGAAGCTTGTCAAAGTCCAGGCACTGAGACTAAACGCAGAGCAGCCCCCAGGAGAACTTCGGGTGTTTGTAGCTTGCAGTCATGGTGGAGCCCACAGGTCTGGTCCTTGGTATGCACTGTCCCTCCATACCCCTCTGTTTGCCCTTAGGCACCAATTGTTCTGCAAACTCACCCTGAGGCACATCAACAAGTCCCCAGAGCATGTGCTGAGGCATGTCCAGGGCCGGAGGTATCAGAGAGCACTTCATCAATGTAAGTCACCTGTTACCTATCTTGAGGATGCGTGTCCCCTGCCCCCAACCAGAAAGGTGCCTTGACCCTCCTTCATTGTCCACTGTTGGTATACTTGGTTGGTCTTGCTTATGAGAGGGTAGTGGAGTGGCTCCTGACCTCACCACTGTAAAGCCAGAAGTGGGCTGGGAAGGAGTTGTGGTGAGTGGTACAGCAGGCTGAGGCCACAGTGCCAAAACTCCAGGATCCAGTCATCTGATACTGCAGGAGAGCCTTGGGGACTGTTGTCAGGACCTAGATTGGTGCAAACAGCCTTCTAGGGACTTGCAGACAGACCTGGTGTTTGATGGGCACAGCCAGGGGTGGGAAGGCATCCCAAGTGGTTGAGAGTGGGGGGACTCTTGTGGTATTTTAACCTCCAGGAGGGTTAGGGAGGGAGGATGGTGCCAGGCCAGGAGACTTGAGATAAGGCCAGCTTGAGGACTAGGGATGTAAAGGAAGGTCTCCCATGCCACCACAGGACAATGAGGGTGAGAAAGTGATTGAGATTAGGTCATTGGGAGGCTACGGGGGTGAAGGAGTTAGGCAGAGCCAGGCCTTGGCAAGGAGGGCTGGGAAGGTAGGGGAGATGCAGAAGCTGGGGATAAGCGGGAGGCTTCAGGGATGGCACTGCCTCTTTCCTACCCATCGGGCGGAATGTACAGACTGTGTCCTGTGCAGCACAACCAGATGATCTTCCCACACATCCTGGAGCTACGGCTTGGATGTGCCTTTGTTAGCTTTGTCATCTGCTGGGTTGTAACAGGGAGGTGCTGGGCAGGGATCCCCATGAGAGAGAATTATAAAGCTGGAGCTGAGATGGAGCCAGAAGGCAGTGAGACCACTTCATAGTAGTGGCCTGCTGAGGACACCGGGAGACGACCTTGTGCTGGTACTCATGAGCAGACAGACCGTAGTGGTCCTGGGAGCAGATGGCAGAGATGAAGTGGAAGACCCTAGAGATGCCAGGTTCCAGTTAGACTGTCACCCCAAGATCAATGATGGCTAGAGCTGGTGTCCCCCACCCAAGGAGATGGTTCTGGACCAACTGGGAAGCCCAAGAAGCTATGCCTCCTTAGGACCTGAGGATAGGCCCTAGCAAGGCCTTCCATGAAGTCAGACTCAGGAGACAGAAGATCAGTCAGCTGACCCTTAGGTCCAGAGGTTCCGGGTTGTCCATGTCTGTCCAGTAGGGTAGAGGAATAAAACACTGCCATAATACCGCCCATAGCTTAGCTTCGTACCAAGAGAACACCAGTGTAAGTAAGCTTGCTGGTCTCTTAGATGAGGAGTGTCAGAAACAAGGTGTGGAGTATGTCCCTGCCTGCCTATTGCACAAGAAGAGGAAGAGGGAGGACCACATGGATGGAGATGGGCTACCTGGTCAGAGAACAGCTTTCTGGGAGCCAGCTTCCAGTGATGAGGGAGGATCCCTGAGTGATGACAGCATGACAGACCTATACCCACGTGAGTAGGCACAGCCCGATTCCTGCCCTCCTGTTCGCCTCCTGCTAGGTATCTTGTGGTCCTAATCTGTTAGCCAGGTTTCCCAGGAAAGCGATGCTTTTACCTGTGGCGTAGCTCAGGCAGGTTGTTTGTTCCTCCCAGCTGAGCTATTCACAAAAAAAGATCTGGGCAAGCCTGAGAACGACACTACTGAAGACTTTCTGACAGACCAAGAGGAAGAGAAGCCAAAGCAGTCGAGAGAGAAGGGCACTGGGGAGAGGAGAGAAGTCAAAGTGGACCGCAAGAGGAGCCGTAAACTCACAAAGGTGAGTGTGTGCCGCACAGTGCTGAGGTCAGGAGGGCTACACAGCCTGGCCGAGTGAGGCTGGACAGCTAGTGCTCCCCATAGTTTTAACAAATTCTGCAAGTAGTGCACTGTCAACCTAACAGCCTATAAATATGGAAGCTGAGGCCACTTCAGAAGGTCTCCAGGAGCAGGTCCTGACCAATGGCTTCTCAGCTCTGAGCTGGGTGCCCCACAACACAGGACTAAGGATTAGCTGCTGGGCACCACTTCTCTAAGTGACAGGAGTGAGGATTCTGTTAGAGAAGCCAGGTGGACAATGTCTGGAGTGACTCTGGCCACACACTGCCCCAGCATAAAAGGGAAAACTGTCAAGAACACAGGCTGCTTTTCAGCCTTAGACACACAGTGCCTTCCTTCCATGTGGACTTGCAAAGGCCCTGGTCACTATTTTCTGCTTTCACAGAAGCAGTTCACCTCATTGACCAAGAAGTTCAAGAGCCATCATCACCACAAGCCCAAGAACTTCAGTTCTTCCTTTAAGCAGCTGGGAAAATGAACCGTGCAGAGAAAGCCTTTGGGTGTCCTTGGAACTGGCCACCGATGTCCTGACATTGGCTGTTGCCCAGAGTGGGCCTGGAGGTTCTGTTCAGAAGGTGACAGCAGCAGGGATTTGAAGATTCCTCTTCGTACATGGCTTTTCTGTGGTCTTTAGTGACTCACTGTAGCATCCTGACTTTGCCAGGCCCGCACCCTGGCTGGTCACCACATAGGATCACACTATATACCACAAATGCCATTATTTATTTTGATGTTTCCAAAGATCAAAACATTTTCAAACACAACTAAGATATAAAATACAGCATAAAAATGAGGTTTATACCTATTCCCACATAAAGCTAAAGCATTTTCAGAAACCGTTTTGCCAAACCAATGTGTAGATCTTTTTTTTTTTTTTTTTTTTTTTTTTGTCCCATCCCAGGCACAGCCCACAGAAAGCTGGTAGATGGGCCAGGGTATCCTTGGGATGGGGGCTGCTGCTGCTGAGAGGCATGCTTTTGCCTCCTAGGGTCTGCCCCATTCCACAAACTGGAATATTACGGGACTGCCAGTGCAGGTAACGGAGCAGGTGGGTGTACACTGAGGCAGCTCTGCTTGTCAAGGGACTTGGTAGTAAGGAAATGTCATGGCGTGAGCCACTGCTGGAACTCACACAGGGAGGAGTAGGCTGGCTGTAAGGCTGCGGAACACGGGCTGGGTGTTGAGAAGGTGAATTCAGACTGCAGAGCCCGTGAGGCAAGAAGAGGCAGGATTGACCCAAGGTGACTCAAGAGGACACAGTCCTGCCTACCCAGCTGATGCCAGAAAGGAGGACACCTCCAGGACTCTGCACCTAAGGGTAAGTGAGCTGCCAGCTCCTCTCCAGGGGTTCTAAGCCTGTCTACCTGTCTCCTCCAAAAGACCTGGAGAAGGTGGAGGAGGAGCCCAACCACCCTCATGGCACTACCATACAGATGAGCAGGACCACAGCATTAGACAGCTTCCCCACCCCGCAAAAAGAGAAACACGGTATAAGGCAATGTTAGAAAACTTTAAATACAGGACTGAGATCAAATTGGTAAGGCATCACAAATTGTAAAAAGTATCTTGGCTGCATCCAGCAGAGCAAGTTGACAAAAATCTGAGCAAGCAACAGCCTCAGGGAAATGGTGTCATCGGGGCTGTCGATGGGGTAAACTCAGCCTGGATCAAGGAGTTAAGCTGGGGGGAGCATGGTCTGTGGGGTCCAGGCCTTGCTCTGAGAAGGTCAAGTGTGAGGTAACTGGGTTGAGCCTGGGTGTCTTCAGTACTGGGGCTCCTCACTTCTGGGCCCCATGGCATTACTGCTCCCCAAGCTGGTTCCGTGGTGGGCCATCCTGTGAGCAGCTGGATCTCCTGCCCTTCCCACCACCAAGCTGGAGGGGATAGCAGTACCTAAACCAGCAGCTTTCCAAGAACTTCCTACCCCTGACCCATCCCATCCCTGCTTGGAGCCAGGGTACCATTGACCCAGGAAACAGCATTCAGCCAGCTGGCACCAAGGACTTGGGCCAGCAGTAGCAGCCACCTCTCCAATACTTTACTATTCTCTAGGCTTGGGGTTTCTCTAACATCTTCATTGATCCTATAAAATACAGGGGCAGAAGCAATGCTGGGCCACTGGTAGGATTCTGAACTGGAGGTTTTAACTGTTTGGTGTTTGGCTGGACCATCCTAAGTCATTTAGCAGTTTGAGCTAAGGATGTAAACTTAAAACTAAAAGGGAAACTGCTTTGAATGATAAAGTATAGCTCAGTACAACTTGAAGGCCCTCATCCCTCAAAAGAAACTCAAAGACAGGATTGAGGCCATAGCCCACCACACTGTCTACTCGAATCCTTGGCTAAGGAATGACCATCCAGCTGCCCAGCCCTGGATAGTTAGACTCCAGACTGTTTCCAAAGCAGATTTTACCTTCAGTTTTCAGGTGTCTGCAAATAAAGTTCTCAGAACATCTGTGCCTTTACCAAGGGAAGGGAAGGGAAGAGGACACATAAACGCTGGCAGTTTGTTGTCTACCCTGAACCAGTCCAGGGCCTTGTGCCTCAGCCAGGGAGGGGAGGGATCTGTCTGTTACCACTCTTTCTTCTTCTCGTCCATGGAGACACCCCCTGGGCCAAGAGCCACCACCAGGAGCAGGCCTCCAATCACTGACATGGTCTGGAAGAAGTCATACTTCAGGAAGTCATGCATGGGTTTATAGACCGGGATTGTCCAGAAGGCGTTGAAATACACGTTGATGGCAAACAGCCAGACGACGAGAGTCAAAGCTGCCAGCTTGGTTTTAAAACCAATGGCTACTAAGATCATCAGAGCTGTGCCCACAATGTTCTGGATGATCTGCACAGATTCAAAGAAAAAACATTCAGGCTAAAGGTCAGGAAAAAAGCTGTGCACACTTGTATCTGAGCTAGGCTCATATAGCTCTCACTAGGGCAGGAGGAGAGCTGAAGACTGTATAGGCAGAAGGAGCACACAAACCGGAAAACTATTTTTTTTTTTTTGCATGTGGGGGTATCAATACTAATTTCCAGAAAAAAATTCTATATTAAAGATGCTTTGGGGGCTGGAGAGATAGCTCAGTGGTTTAAGAGCATTGCCTGCTCTTCCAAAGGTCCTGAGTTCAATTCCCGGCAACCACATGGTAGCTCACAACCATCTGTAATGAGGTCTGGTGCCCTCTTCTGGCCTGCAGACATACACACAGACAGAATATTGTATCCATAATGAATAAATATTTTTTAAAAAAGAAAAAAAAAGATGCTTTGGCTTTATATGTACTCCCCAAATACCATGTGCTGGAAAATTCCCCAAATCTTATCAGTGGTGTTTGCCTGCTAGAACTTTGGTGAGTAACTAGGCTGTGAATGAAGGCTTGTTCCTCAGTCTCATCATGTGATACCCTGTATTTCCTCGGTACTCTACAGAGTTATTAACCACAAGACCCTTACCAGATGTGACCTCTTCACCTTGGGTCTCCCTGCCACCCGAGCCCTAAGCTGAATATAACATCATTCTCTATAAAGTGCTCCTTCTGTGGTATTCAGTTACAACAACAGAAAATGAACTAAGAAAACTGGTATCAAGAAGTGAGGTTGTTGCTAAAGTAGCACCTGACTATAGAACGGTAATGATCAGAAGTTGGAGACATTTAGAGAACCATATTGAAATGAATGGAGCAGTGACGGCAACTCTGGGAAGAGCTGAGAAGACAAAAGAAAGACCATAATGTCACTGGTAGTATTCAATGGCCTTGACCAGCATGTTGCAGCACAGGTAAAACAGTAAACATGAAACAAGGGTTTCTAAATTAGTAAAAGCCATTCTTGTTAGAAAACTGCAATGCGTTAGGCAGTTGTGGTACTTGCCATTAATCCCAGCACTTGGGAGGCAGAGGCAGGCTGATCTCTGTGAGTTCAAGGCCAGCCTGGAAGCATTCCAGGAAGGCATTCCAGGAAGCCAGGGCTATACAGAGAAACCCTGTCTCTTAAAAACAAAAAAACAAAAACGACAACAACAACTATGTTGGGTGTTGTGGCACACACCTTTAATTCCAGCTCTCAGCTCTCAGGAGGCAGAAACAGGTGGATCTCTGAGTTCTAGGCCAGCAAGCCACCCAGGGTTACAGAGAGAAAACTTATCTTGAAAATCTAAAATAAAATGATGATGATGATGAAAGAAGCTGCAGTGAATTCTGCTGCATTGTGTCCATGCCTAGGACCTTAGAGAATACAGAACTTCTATCTGGCAGAAGAAACCTACAGTAGCAAAGCATTCAGGTTATGTGGCTGCTTTTGATCCTGACTGTTTACAGTAAAATAAGGGTGCAAAGACTAAATTTTTAACAAGGAAAATGTGAGGACATGTGAGAAGTTCTTTGGCCATGTGGTAGAGAATGAAAGACAGTTTTTCAGGGTCTCTTATGTAACCCCAACTAGCCTTGAACTTACAATCCTCTTGCCTCTGTATCCCAGGCACTAGGATTTTAGGTCTGTGACACACTGGCCAAGGAACATTAAAAAAAAAAAAAAAAAAAAAAAGAAGAAGAAGAAGAAGAAGAAGAAGAAGGAGAGAGAAAGAGAGAAAGAAACAGAGAGAGAAGGATATGTTTGTATTTGTGTTTGAGTATATGCATATGTGGAGGAGGGTGGAGGCCAGAAGAAGGTGCTGGATATCTTCTATTCTTTTTTTTTTTTTTTTTGGTTTTTCGAGACAGGGTTTCTCTGTGGTTTTGGAGCCTGTCCTGGAACTAGCTCTTTTAGACCAAGCTGGTCTCGAACTCACAGAGATCCGCCTGCCTCTGCCTCCCGAGTGCTGGGATTAAAGGCGTGCGTCACCACCGCCCGGCCCATCTTCTATTCTTTTTGAAGAAGGGTCTCTCTCTGAACCTAGAGCTCATCTCAGCTACAGGAAGAAGCAATCTGAACAATCCTGCCTCTGCTCTCCTAAAAGGCCAGATTACAGGCATTTGCTAGATGCCAGATAGTTACTCTCGTGCTAAGATTTGAACTCTGGTCCTAACTGGTCACAGAAAAACCACTCTTTGCCAATGAGCCATCTCTCAGCCCCCAAGCACCATATTTCAGTGTAGACTATTTGGGAAAGATAAGTTAACAGCTGAAGTGCTCCCCTGGTCTACACCGTAACTCTGAGAGCTCATTTCATCTACACCTGCCTAGAAACCCATGCTGGAAAGCACTCCTCCCCCGCCTCCAACAATGCTAACTTCTAATGTGTGACAGATAAAACCAGAGTGTATTGGCCAACAGTGTGAATTGAACTCTGAAGTAGAGTAGTCAGGAGTCTGCAGAGGGCACTGGCCTTTCCCTAGCAGAGCTGGGCAGGTTCATTTACAAGCATGGCCTCATCTCTGGCTGTGCTCAGGCACAGCTGTGCCAACAGGCAGCACATGGCTCAGGGTACTCACAGAAAAGAAGCTGGCATCAAAGTGAAGGAGGGTCATGAACATCAGGACCAGCAGGACCCTTCCTCCAAGCTGCATGTACTGCTTGGGGGAGCTCTCACGCATGGTGGGAACACCAGCAAACATGCTCTTCCCTTCTGAGCGGGACTCTGCCAAGAGCAGCAGCAAACCTCCTCCTAAAGCCAGGTTCCTGAGGAACAGAAATGTCACCTACATTTACCAAGCATATGTCTAC